TTTTTTGATTTGAGTAATGTGTATTAAGACTACTCTAAAGTATTTATTTCCTCAGGTTGTTACTTTGGTTCATAAGTTATTTAGTGTCCTGGGTGACTACAAGCCTTTATTAATTTATTATTACAGTTATTATTTTAATTAATTGCTTTTTTATTGACATTCGACATCATATAAACATTTCCATTTCCATCAGATACTTAGAAAAGTGAAAAGTAAATTTTTTTTTCAGTTTATGTAAGATAAGCTGTCATCGTTTTTATTTTGTGAAGACTTCAAGCCTTTCGTTTCCTGTTGTGCTTTTGAATATTTGAATACATGGTGCGCTGGAGTTGTTAACATTCCTTCATTCAGCTAATTACACTTGTGATCGCCACCCTGATCATTAGGGGAGTCATGAATAATAGGTGTCACCTCAGCAGCTTTATTGAACATGACACTGTTGTCTTTGTGCACATGCTGATGTTATGAGTGTTCTGATGTGTCTCTTTCTATCCTTTAGAACACAGACTGGAATAAGTATGATGACAAGCTGATGAAGGCAGTGGAGAGGAGGGAGGTAGACAAGGTCGCAGCAGTGCTCGGCAAGAAGGGCATCATCCCCACCAAACTTGACGTAGAGGGCCGCTCTGCGTAAGTATCCCTGTCACTAAGAATGGGTCACCATGTTGACTAGTCATCCAACAAATGATTAGGCTATTAGTAAGGTCAACTAATGAATCCAAAAGTTTTTAATCTAGATTTAAGAAAGCATGTGAAGTTAACCAGTCCTATATTTCAAAACTTGTTTCCAGAATCCTGCGTTCTCATCCTGTTCTTTGCGTGTGGTCTAACTGTTTAACTTAAGAACACGTCCCTAAGAAACGTGGCCTCACTTGATGGGATTAACCCGAAAACAGTCTAATAATACAGGGCATCCTTAAGACCAATGAATCGACTAGGCAGCGTACCAATTAGTCTGTTTTGAAAATATGTAGTTTTGCACATACCTGCCTGAAACGCTTGAGATTATTCATAATTATTAAAATACTTGAACACATCTGCATATTTCTGTAATAGTATAGCCACAACAGTATTTGAACAGTAAGATTTTTCATTATAGGAAAAAAAATAGGATTCCTGCTATACCATGATATTAAACTCTGCTTTCAATATAGTACACAGCTTTATCATGCATCAGACTGATTGCCACTTCACTAGCCCTTTTTAAATTAGAGGAGTCCTGTTTGTTTATTTAATTTATGCATGTATTTATGCTTTTGTTCATACTTTGGTATGTATGGTCTCACTAATCGGCCCTATGTTTTTGTCCAATCTGGACTGAAGCATTTCGTGCCTGACCAAGAATTTGAGTAAAAATTGGAAAACATGTTGTGGTTAGAGATGCTTGACCCGGCACAGACCAGAAGAGTCCAGAACAGCCTGGGCCTCCTGGGCCGGAAGTAGGTCTTCAGTGAATAAATCTATGCTTGTGTACACTGACTAAATTTAGTATCTAGAAGTTTTTTTCTTTCCTAAACTGTCATGTTAACTGCTTACTTAATCTTCTTCTGAATGTTCCAAGTCTGGAGAGCTTTAGATGATGCCTTTTTGTTTTGGGATAAATGCAGGAAAAGTATTTGGGGTCAGAAGTGAATCGTTGGACCCCGTTATTCAATATCACACTGAGTGATGTTCCACATTATTACATGGCCACACAGTAGACTCCAACACTGGTGGATCAACTGTGTCTTTTCCTGTTTTAGAAAGCCTAGTTGGCCTCCCATCAATCCCTGATGTTTTTACTGCCTTGACAGGGTCTATGTAGGGCATAGACAGACACATTTCAGCTTGATTTAACCACAGCTTTGTTTCATTCCCTCATTTAAAGCCATAAGGTTCCCCTTTGGGTATTTTTGTCATAGTGTGAGATTCTTCTTGCCCTGTTGGGTGGAGAAGAGCTTGCCTTGTAATAAGGTGCTAGAATTTCTCAGGACTAAATCAAGAGCATCGGTCGCCGTCGCAGTCGCCGGGTCGGTGTTATAGTGTAACAGAGCTCAATTAATAAACACCAGCCTGTTATATGAAACATGCTTGTGGACGTCAGTGTGCCATAATGGCTGCCAAATGACCTGGACATGGGAATATGCAGCCTTTTTTGCATAGTTGAGTGGAATACACAGGTCAAATGTTGGATTTGTGGAAATCCTCTGTTCATATATAGCAGGACCCCACATGC